TTCAGTCCGGGACCCTAGCTGTGCCACGGTGTGAGTCCTGCAACCTGAATAGATCCTGAGATCTTTCTCAGGGTCAGAAAGGGCTGCAGTAGTAGAGAGGAATACAGGAAAACTCCACACTCCATGTATGGAGCGGTAGGAAGGAGGACGACGGGGCCGACAGTGTAAAGTTTTGCTTAAAACATTTTTTAAAGTTGTCAGTGAAATGGTGGAAAGCGCCGTCATGTCGCAGTCAGCTTATGGCAACCCCACAGGGTTTCAAGGCAAGAGACATTCAGAGACGGTTTGCTTTTGTCTGCCTTTGCATAGCATCCCCGGTATTCCTTGGAGGTCGCCCATCCAAATACCAGCCATGGCCAACCCTGCTTAGCTTCCAAGATCAGACTCAGTTAGCTTCAGTAAGACACAGGGAGGGGTGAAACAAACTTGACCCAATAACTGCAATCAAGAATAACAAGGGTGAGAAAGAAACCTGATGCAGGGCCAATATTCAAAACCTAGTGTATGCTTGCTATATAAAAAAATGCATGCATTTATTAGACAGACAGTTAAAAAAATATAAGGGCCCAATGAAAGCTTCGTTACAAAGTACAGGGGACCTGAACAAAAAGGCCAATAAAAGTGACCTGACGTGTTTCCGCCCCTTGGGGGCCTTCTTCAGAGGTCAAACCATCTGAGGTACAGATAGACACACGTTTCAGGTCAGGGCCAATGAACACTATTCACAGTCAATAAAAACGAATGAATGCCATATCAGGTATCAATGGTACATGGGTCAAAGGGTAAATAGATGTTGTCAATTGTGGGGAGGGATGCTGGCTCAGTGGAAGAGTCTCTGCTCGGCATGCAGAAGGTCCCAGGTTCAATCCCGGGCATCTCCAGTTAAAAGGATCAGGTAGGAGGTGACATGGAAGACCTCTGCCTGAGACCTTGGAGAGCCACTGCCGGTTGACGAGACGATCCTGGCCTTGATAGACTGAGGGTCTGATTCAGTATTAGGCAGCTCCATATGTGGACTGAGAGAATAACCACCACATCAGCTGTCGATGATCAGACCTTGGAGAGCCACTGCCGGTTTGACGAGCGATCCTGGCCTTGATAGACTGAGGGTCTGATTCAGTATTAGGCAGCTCCATATGTGGACTGAGAGAATAACCACCACATCAGCTGTCGATGATCAGAATAAACAGCAGGTCCAGAGCTGCGGTGGCTCAAGTGGTTAAGACGCTGAACTGCAGGCTGTGGAAGGTCAGTAGTTCAGCAGTTCAAGACCCGGGTGCCGCATGACGGAGTGAGCTCCCGCCTCTAGTTCCAGCTCCTGCCAACCTAGCAGTTCAAAAGCAAGAAATTGCAAGTAGATAAATAGGTACCACTTCGGTGGGAAGGTAACAGCGTTCCGTGCGCCTCGGTGTTTAGTCATGCCGGCCACATGACCACGGAAACGTCTTTGGACAGCGCTGGCTCTTCGGCTTTGAAATGGAGATGAGCACCGCAACCCTAGAGTCGGACTCGACTGGCTTTCGAGCAAGGGAAACCTTTCCTTTTACCAGAGAAAAGACAGACATTACAAAAGACAGACAGCTCGTTAAACTCCTTTGAGATTAATGTCTTTTATAAAGCTATCAATGGTAGTTCATGTAGAAAAATCTTCCCGGATCAACTGCAGTGTGTTGTCCCTTTGGGGAGGGGCTGCGACACAGTGGCGGAGCATTAGTTTGGCATGCAGAAGGTCCCAAGGTTTAATCCCTGGTATCTCCAATTAAGAGGTTCTGTAAAAGACCTCCACCTGAGACCCTGGAGAGTGGCTGCCAGTCTGAGTAGACAATAGTCATCTTGATGGACCGAGGCTCTGATTCAGTATAAGGCAGCTTCATGGGCTCAATGGCACACAAATCTATTTGCACTGGGGGGAAAAGCATTCTTTCCCCCTGATACACAGAAGAAGAAGAGATTGGATTTATACCCTACCCTTCACTACCCAAAGGTGTCTCCGAGTGGCTTACAACCTCCTTTCGCTTCCCCTCCCCACAACAGACACCCTGTGAGGTAGGTGGGGCTGAGAGAGCTCTGACAGAAACTGCTTTTTTTTCAAAAACAGCTCTGACAGAACTATGGCTTGCCCAAGGTCATCCAGCCGGGTGCAAGTGGAGGCCAAGATCACGTGCGTGTAATAACTACAATGCCATGAAAGGGGGTGTGGTATTGACCGGCTCTTCACTCTCAGGAAGGTCATTTCAAAAGTAGATCCAAAGGCGGTGGCAGTATGCTTAAAAAAAACCAAAAACCTCCCTTTCAACCACACATCGTTTGTGCTTGTTTTAAAGTTATAATTACAAAAGCGTTGCCATTCCGGAGGGCAATTCTTCTACGAGCATGGCAGCCTGCTCGCCTGCAACACCTCCTTACCCTGCTGAGGATAACATGGAAACATCTGGAAATGCAACTATTCTCGGTAAGCCACCATTCTTCATTAAGGGCAGTTCTGCATCTAGCATCCGCTCCGCATTTTCTCAACTGGGAGGGGAAAGTGCAGCTCAAAACCACATTCAAATGCCTCGGGCATACTGACTGCAGAGTCACCCCTGAACGGCCATAAATCTATCTAGAAGGTACTATAAAATCCGATGGTCAAAG